AGGAGTCATACGAGCCATAGATTGGATAGTGCGTTAGACCAAGGGATGAATAGAGGCACAAGAAAGGAGAGGCAACCCATTGTGGGTTTTTCTTTCAGGAGTCGTACGAGCCATTGCTTGGATAAAGCGTCAGATCAAGGGATGAACAGACAAATCAAAGAGGAAAAAATACCTTCGGCAATGGACACCTTCATCGATGGAAAAATCAAAGCCGTTCTCGGTCATGAATTGGAAGATATCCTCGAGAAATCCATCAAGGACATTTTGGAAGAGAAAGACATAGCCCTGACATCGCATCAAAAGAAATGTGACGAAGTCATGCAAAGCATTGAGAATCTACAAAGTGAAAAGAAAAAAGCTGGTAAGACTACGTTTATCGGTTTGGACAAATTTGAGATACGAATAGCCGAGAAAGAAGCTCTGACGCAAAAGGCAGTAGAATTAAATTCCCAGAAAAAAGAGTTTACAGACATTGTTAGTAAGCTAATCGAAAAAATCCTTTCTCTAAAGGAAGTGAAAGTTGGCTGGAAGGAATTAGATTCAGAGATAAAAGAAGTGAAACAGCTGATGGAAAGAGAGAAAGATCGCTTAAATAAAGCTCTTCCAATCTATGCTAAGAGAAGTGTTATCACAGACACCGTGAAAAACAACCAAGTAAGCATTATTTTGGGAGAAACTGGTTCTGGCAAAAGCACACAAGTTGTTCAGTATCTATACGATTCAGGGCTGGCAGAGAAAGGCGTAATCGTTTGTACACAGCCAAGAAAAGTCGCTGCCTTCAGCCTGGAAAAGTATGTCTGTGAAGAAATGAAAGAAAGCGGACATGCAGTGGAATGCTCTGTCGGTGCTCGAGCAGCTGACAAAAGAGCAAAGAAGACCAAAGTTCTTTTTACAACAGACTACTCGCTGTTAATGGAATGCATAAAAGATCAAGATCTTACTCGATTTTCCTGTGTCATCATTGACGAAGCCCACGAAAGAAATATGAACACTGATCTTCTCCTGGGAATTATCAAAAAAGCACTTCTCAGGCGCCCGGACTTGCGTGTCATTATAACATCAGCAACCATAAATCCAGATCTGTTTATCAAGTATTTCGGTGATTGCCCTGTGGTTAAAGTGTCTGGTAAGACGTTCCCTGTGGACGTTATTTGGAAKAAGGAGMAAAAAACTTCTGGTGATTACGTTTTCGAAGCTGTGGAGAAAGTCGTGGAGATACATCAGAACGAAGAAGCCGGTGACGTTCTCGTCTTCCTTACTTGTCCAGCTGAAATCGAACAGGCTTGTACTAAAGTTCGTAACAGGATCAAGAAGGATGATATTCAATTCCTTCCCTTGCATGGGAAACTTCGACAAGAAGAGCAAAGTGAGGTTTTCAAGCCCACTCCGAAAGGAAAACGCAAAGTCGTTTTTTCCACTAACTGTGCTGAGACCTCCCTGACGATTCCTGGAATCAAGTTCGTAGTGGACACAGGGAAAGCAAAAGAGATGAAATATGATCCAAAAAGGAACATCAACTCTCTTGAAGTATCTGACGTTAGCCAAAGTTCTGCCGATCAACGAAAAGGAAGAGCTGGGAGGATCGAGAGTGGGAAATGCTACCGCCTGTACACTGAAGATGATTTCAATGCCATGGAGAAGTCATCTAAACCAGAGATCCTACGCGTKAATCTTGGTCAAGCTTTGCTGAAGCTTATGGAACTGGGCATACGAAACCCTGCTGACTTTGATTACGTCGAGTCTCCTCCTGTCGAGTCTATCAAAACAGCGATGATGGAGCTGGAAGAACTTGGGGCTACATGTGGTGGCCAACTTACTGAGCTTGGTAAAAAGATGGCCAAAGTTCCTGTTGATCCTGGTCTGTCAAAGTTTCTGTTTGAAGGCTTTGAACAAGGGGTTGGCTACGAAGCTCTTGTGTTGGTCGCTGTTTCCACTATAACTGGCAACGTCTTCTTTCGCATGGGAACTGAGGAAGAGAAGAAAACAGCAGATAGGAAGAAGGTTGAGTTTTGTCACCTTGGAGGCGATTTCATGACTCTTTTAGAAGTTTATCGATCTTGGCAGAAAGTAGACAAGAGAGACAGAGGTGGTTGGTGCTTCGTAAAGAGTATGAATGCCAAAGCAATGCGTATGGCTGATGAAACTGTCAATGATCTTAAATCAACACTGAAACACGAACTGAAGATGCCTGACATTAAATGGTCCAGTCTTGACAAAGAAACGACGGATGGTCGGCTGCAGAAGACACTCTTTCTATGCTTCATGACGAAACTGTGCGTTTACACTGGACACGAAAGAAGAGGTTACAAGACAATCACTGGAGGACATTTTGTGAAGATTCACCCGTCTTCCTCYRTTAACTTCACTGGCTCSAAYCCYMAGTTCATTGTSTAYGAGAAMATTCTCAARACTTCTCAAGATTTCTTATTGAACGTTACTCCAATTGAGACAAGCTGGCTTCAGGAGAGTATCGCAGAGAAAAAACTACACCTTGATATTGAAGAAGTCTTGGCTGAAGTTTTGATGGTGCCACTACCCAGCATACGCTGCAGTTCGATTTTGATGAAAAGAGCATTCGAGCCTTTTAAAAGTAAGCTACCTAACCTCGAAAAAGGCATCTCAGTTTTCTGTAATAACGCACCGATTATCGTCGAGGCAAAGAGAAATGCCGGTAAAGTGGATTTGTTTATTCCCAAGAATTACGCTGACAAGGCTGTAGAAGAAACCCAAAAAATCTTGGAAGAGCAAAGGAAAAGACTTCGTGAGGAGACGCGTGAATATCCTGTAATTTCTGAATCTTCTGCTCTTCGAGTGGTTATGGAGAAAGGTCTAACAGTGCAGCAAATTCTACTGCCAGACATGTACCGCTCTGTCGTGGTGAGAAGCCTTCAAGATAGGCCATTACTACCAGCGGATGTTAAGAAGTTTCTTTGTCAATTTGGGAAACTTATTGACTTTAACTCTTCCCGTGACATGCACTTTGCTACTTATGAAAAGCCGGAAGAAGCATCAAAAGCCGTGAAGTTGTGTACATTTGAGGAGCTTGGCTACAGGGTTGAGCCCAAGAAGACTCAGCAGATGTCACAGCAAGGAAATGACTCCTCTCATTTTAACTTCAGAATAAAAATAACTTGGCATCGTCGCGAGCCTAAAGGAATGGCAAATGTGTCCTTCGAGAACCAACCCGAAGAAGTGTGGTACAAGATTTCTTCGATATCCGAGATTACAATAAGATCCAAATCGGCTCGTGTTCGTACAGACAAGCATAAAGAGAAGACCATTTTCCTCCACAGCCTTAGTACTGACACTACAAAGCAAGACATCAGAGAAGCATTGGAGAAAGTTTTTCATGGTTGTACTATTACAATAAAAGAGCAAGACATTCTGATCCAGTACAAGCAAAGAGCAACACTGGCTAATATAGAGGCACAAAAGAAAGTTCTCGAGGAATTGATATCAACGTATACAACGCCAGGAGGTTTTGAAGTAACGATGAAGGAATTAGACCTATCGAATAAATCCCCATTTAGTGTCGCCGTTGTTGACTTCCTCAACCCAAACGAAGGCATCCAGGTTGTACGATCTCTCAGTGGAAGAAGACACGGGGCCCTTGAAATGTGGGAGGTGTGCCTAGAAGTCAAGCCATCCTTGAATTTCTTCGTTACCTGTATGATAAGCGTCTACGACCTCGTCAGGAATGAAGTCCAAAGCAAAATCGATGAAATTGCAAAAGAATGCGCTGCAAACTGCAAACACCAACTTCGATTGAAAGTAAAACCAGCAAAGTCCAAAGGACGGATGGAATTATCAGTGGATGCGACGTGTTTGGAACACCATTTGCAGGCGTCGAAAGAAATATCCAAGTGTATCCAAGGTGAGAAGATCGAATGTTCTAAACCTTCGATGTTTCTTCTCGGTAAAAGTGGTAGAGATCATCTCAAGGAAATTCAGAAACAAAGTGGGGCCTTCATTTGTACTGATGAAAGAACCATGGCTATAACCTTGTATGGCACTAGCGAACAGAGAGAGAAAGCAAGAGACGCTGTGTATCGTTTTTTCCAAGACCTCGCATTGCAGGGAAGCACTGTTTGGGAAGTCAACTTAAAAGAGGACGGACGGCCTAGAGGTTTGATGAAACAACTGATGTCAAAATATGGTCGGGAATTTGAAGGACTACTTGAAATAGAAGGAGTCAACAAGGTGGATATATACCTTCATATGCAAGTCTTGAAGGTCCAAAGTACATCTGACGCAAAAAGCCACGTCCTTCGTGTGATTGAAGAAATAGCAAAAACTATAGCACCCCTTCAGCCAAATACTGGAACGGAAATTGAAGAGGAAGAGTGCCCTACCTGTTTTTGTGTCATAGACGACAAAACACCCTCATACAGACTTGCCATATGTGGGCATGCTTGCTGTATGACTTGTATAGAGCAACAATTCAATGCAGCGGTGTTTCCACTGTGTTGCACTCACGAAGACTGYYCGGAGATGTTTRSTTTGGATRTGATCGATCTTCTAACTCAAAAGAAGGAGCTGCATGATAAAGTCATGAAGATGTCTCTTAAGTCCTATGTCGATGCCAATCAAGACAAGGCACGTTACTGTCCGACACCTGATTGCCCAATGGTTTATCCCGTTACCACGAACGGGAAACTATTTCGATGCAATGTGTGTTCTACTGCAATCTGTTCTTCGTGTCACCAACCATACCACCTTGGTCTTACATGCAAAGAAAATGAAATCGAAAAGACAGACCCGGGAAAAGCGTTGCTTGAGAAGTGGATGAATGAGAAACCTGGCACAAGAAAGCGCTGCTCATCGTGTAATTCTCCTATCGAGAAAAATGAAGGGTGTAATCATATGACGTGTGGAAACTGTAAATCACACCTGTGTTGGTTATGCATGAAAGTTTTTTCCACCGGAGCTGCGGTTTACGCTCATCAAGCGTTCTGCCCTGTCAGGCTGACTGGAAACTAGAAGATTGATTTTGACAGTTCAAATATTCCCGCCCCGTTAGTGGTAATCGTAGAAGACGAGGCTAGATGAAGTAATGAATGGCATATTAGCTTTCATTAGAGGACTTCACGAATTTCCTTCTCAAGGTCGTGTTCCGTAGCAAGAGACTGAAAATGAACTAATAAAAGAAGGAATATATATTCATGCTTGTAACCATCATAAGCATCGTTTGGTGCTATTTTTAGCATCACATTTGCCATTTGCCAGCACTCTACCCTGTTGCCTCACCTTTTTTTGGAAAAACACACAACAAAACATGAGCAAAGAGGGTAGAGCGCGCGCGTGCAGAAAATCAAACGATCAAATGAATGTACTGATATTTTTTGGTTGGATTGAAAACGATTGATTTAATTTCATGATATGGGGTTCTAAACCTTTCACATAATGTTTTACGCACTAAAAATCACGATTCTTTTCCGAAACTAGTTTCGTATTTATCGACCTTTTCAATCCTTAAACATATTCATATTCCGGCTTATTCAATAAAGTTAGTCACCAAAAACCTAGAAAGCTGAGATCACTGAGCATCATGGGAAACTTTTCATATCAAGGTAGCATATATATATACAAAGCTTTTTTAATACAAACTGCAGCTCGATGATGCTCAGAAGAGCTGAGACTGTAACCGGAAAGATTCGCAAGTCCATGAACAGTTATCAAGCGGTTGAACGTGTAAAATGAATCTACCTATAATCCTTGTCGGCCTCAGCTTTATAGCTTTTCAGGTGAATACCTTTATTGAAATAAGTATATACATACCGTATATATCTTTAAGGATTGAAAAGGTCGATAAAGACGAAACTATTTTCTGTAAAGAATCTTGATTTTTAATGCGCAAAAGATTATTTCAAAGGATAAGAACCTTGCAGTATCATGGAATCAAATGAATGATTCTAAAAATAGCATCAAAGATTCTAAAAATATGTAATATGTTACACTGATATGTAATATATACGTTGGATACGAGTGGCCGTGTTGGATACGATAAATAAACTCTCGGCTAGCAATAGCGCAGCGCACTGATTCTAAAAATAGCTTAAAGATTCGGACAAACATTGCATTCTGTTTAACCGATTTTATTATTTTTACTTAAAGTTACAATAATAACCCATGTAAACTAAGATTAACTGCGATCGGCTGTGAAAATTATCTGCTGAAAGTAAACTTGTAAGTTTGTTTGTCCGAATTTCGCCCTTGTCTTCGTTTTTATGACGTCACGGTTGCGCTGCGCTATACGGCCACTCATATTGTATATATTGAATATAGTTTCATAACTACTGAAAAGTTGAAAGCATTTTTCTAAAATGTTTTAATAGAGGTCAAGATTTTGCATTCTAGTTAAACATTTATTTGTCTCTGACTTGAAACTTTTAAATAAAGGTTAAAACCAAAGGACGAAGGCTTTGATTGACATTGAAGCCCCCACATCTGTAGTCATCAGTCACGTTTCAAAGCGTTTGGAAACTGATATTTAGTCTCTGGACTTTGAATGCATCGTTTGCACTAATTCATTAACGACATGTCAATCATTCACATGATTATTACCGCCGTGACCGTCAACGAAGGGAATGATTTGGCGCTAAATTTTAAATTCCATTTATCTTTGTCCTTTACCATTTGCTTTTCTATTATAGTAACAGTTTTGGATACTGGAAACGGCGGTAAAAATTTCAAGACAGAGACAAGTAAAAGAATAGTGTCTAATACTTTTCGATATAAAGATTTAAGAAATGTGTTTCTCTGGGCGCCAGACAGCCTCTGAAACACAATTAGGTCAAAATTTTGAGCTCTTGCCAAGCCACCATTATTATTTGTAGATTGTAGACTTTGTAGTTCTCGGATTTCTGTAAACCCAGAGGATCCAGGGTTATCCCATCATGCATCGCGAGTGAGGTATAGCATTTTCAATTTAAACAGCTAAAATAATTTTTTTAAGAAATTGAAAAATTAAATTGTATTATAGTGTAATTTATACCTTTTAGCATTATGTATTTTAACAGGCTACTTTTATCTGCAAAAAAATTAATAATGTTAGCTCTATAAACGATTTTATAGAAAGCATTAAAAGGTTTGTTCGAGTTTTAAGTTGTGTTTTGAAATTCTTGACTGGCTCCGTGTCATTTAGACACATATTTAATTACTAAATGGCTGGCAGTTTCTTTTCCCCCAACGGTTTTTCTTTCCTCTGCTAGATTTCAATTTGACGGATTTGGGTAGACAGAAAAAAAGGACTCAAACATAGAAAAGCTTCCCTGTTTTATATTCTATTATTTTAAAAATAAAAACGAAAAAAGGAGCAAAAGCATGAGTAGGTTTAATGTTTAGGTCACCCATCCAAGTGCTAACACTCCTTAAACGAGCTTGACTTAGTATCTTGAACGACGACGATTTATCCACTGGACCACGGTTTTCAGGTGAGTCCAGCATAACAATAGCCGTGAAAACAATGCACCGAATAGACTAGACTTTTTAACATTATATTTTCAACCGATTCCGTGCGTGGCAGAGATGCAAGGGATTAGCCGATATGGTCTGGGGGCCGGCTGGTCTCTCCCCTGATGCTTTGGCTAGAACAAGGRCAGAAGGATTTAATCGCCGTCAGGTCCGAAGTCCATACGCCGCCTCAGCTCTGCGGATGTCTCGGGGGTATGGCACAGTGGAATTGCATATCTTGAATTTCTTTTGGTGAGTTCGAATCCCTTCTTATCCACTTAAGATTTTTTTAAATCCATTTTTTGCAATCTGTTGCTCGTAATAAAATGAATTGTTACAATCCTTTTCTAGGAAATATAATGGTTGTGGACTTCTGGAAAATGTAAGTCAAACTACATGCCATGGTCATTGAGTTTAATTCTTGACAGAAGACCAAAAAAATTGAGTAAAAACATTGCTTAATCCGCCATTTTTGTTAGTATAAGTCAACAAAAGTTTTAAAAAATCTATTCAAACCATCTAGATCGCTTAGCAGCGGAGTTGGAGTCTCCAAACAACTTGCTTTTATATTTCTGTACGATGGTATTGAATTCTACTTCTTCTTTCATGTCTATTGCTTTTCTTTTGCTGTTTTTTCTGCCGGTAAAACTCTGATTAGCCGGTTCTTTCTGTGCTGATTTAGTTGCTCTCTGAAACAATTTCACCGACTTTGTTTCTTTTGTTGGTAAGTTTTCTGGTTCTTTTTTGAGTGACTTTTGTTGTTTTTTGCTCGGGAACTGTTTCTTTTTCTTTTTAAAATTTTCACCAGAGTTTGGTTTGTTTGCACGAGAATTTGTGCTTCCTTCTGCAACACTGGAGGCGTCTTTGCCTCCTGCGTTTTTCTTATTAAGTCTTTTAAGCTTCCTCTTTTCTCTTCGTCGAACTCCTTTCTCGATTCTTCTCTGCTTGTTCGTCTTGATCTCTTCCTCCTTTTCTACACGCGGCTTTTCCTTGTTCTTACTTCTCGCCATTCTCTGTTGTTTCGCCTTCAAAGCAAGGCTATTCTCAATAGAAAACTCCACGATTGGTCTTCGATTTGAACCAAAGATTTCTGGGTTGTTGTTGGTTTGTCTTAGAGCCGTCAAGGCTTCTTTATGACTTGCCAACTCGATAAAACCAAACCCTAGTGAACGTCCTTTCCCGGAACCGTCCATTCGATCCTTACTGCGCATGATCAATACCTTCTTCACAAGAGCAGGCTTCCCTCCATTAACCGCGCCAGAAGTGCTGAAGATCTTTTCCAATTCCTTTTCCGTCGCCGACAAAGGCAGATTTCGTACACAGAGCCTTGTCGTCGAAACAAAGTAATTGGGGTTCCTTAATTTAGCCTTCTTCTCAGTTTCAGCTTTTTCTCTTTTCTGAAGGTCTGCTTTACTCAAGTCTTTGGCTGCCTCAGAACCCGCTGTGATGACACCCTCGCGTGCTAAGTACAGATTTCTCTTATCCCTTGGTTCTTTTTTCGATTCTTTGTTTTCCATTCTTAGTTGCTGTGCCTTGCCTCGGGTCACTGCTAGGTGAACTCGTAGCTTGAAGCCATCGAGATGTAGGCCTGGAGATTAAAGTGGAAATGCGACATGAGATTTATTTAGCATCCCTCTCCTCCCCAAGTTCAAGGTGACAATTAATCCTTCCAACTATACACTCTTACCCCATCCTATCGATGCAACCATCCATGAATTCCGTCCATTCATTCATTTGCAAAACCATGCAGCCAAGACATGCGATGTAAAGGTACTTACCTTCATTTTCAACGCCTTCCACGTTCGCTTCCTCTAAGCAGTTTTCAACGCTCTCCAAAGCCTTAAACTTCACAAACGCCGTTCCTTTACTGTGATCCGTTAGAGGGTCGGTGACGATTTTGCAGTATTCAATATCACCGTACTTCTTGAACAGTTGAAAGAGAGACTTCTGTGTGGTGTCATAATTGAGATTACTGATAAAGACTGTCAGCCCTTCTTTAACATCGGAAGGTTTTTTTTTGCTCTCTTGAGAATCTTCATCGTCGTCGTCTTCTTCCTCATCATTTTTATCATCATCAGCATCATCACTTTCTTGGCCACTTTCTTCCAGCCTTTCATCCTCCTCATGGCTTTCATTGTCATCGTTATTTTCATCATCATCATCATCATCATGTTGATTAGCTGCACCTTCGACTTTTTCATCTTTGTTTCCTACAAAATGGAAAAAGAAATACATCAAAATCATAGAGAAGCTATGTTGGTAAGAAGTCAACAAATTTGCAGCTTTTCCGGGTAAACGGTAAGTAAGCACCCCGATTCTCAAGTAAAATGGAAGCAAGGGAGAGAAGGACAAATCAAAAAAGCTACTGTATGTCTGCACAAAACAAACCATCCACCTCACCCTGACCTGTAAGGTTCAGTTATTGCACACTCAGTAATTCAAGCTTACAGCTATTTGAAAAAAGGTTGAATGCTGAATACTGCATACTGAATAGTGCATTCCATGACCGAAGTGCATTGTGGATCATAGTGACATTGTCTAAAGTAGGATTAATAATTATTATTTATTCTATTTTTAGTGTATTCCATCTGAAACAATATACTAACTACATGAAGAGAGTTAATTGCTGTATGTTTACTTTTTATTTCAAATTAACGAGACCCACAATGCCCTTTGGTCTTGGAATGCACTATTCAGTATGCAGTATTCAGTATTCAACCTTTTTTGAAATACATTAGCTGTATATTGTTTGAACTGTGATTTACATTGTAATGATGACAACTGTAATAATGTTTGGAAATAGAGATATTGCATTCGCCTCTCATCTCTATGGTTTCAGGTTTGATTCCAGACTTAGCATTCCATTTGAGTAGAGTTCATTAAGTCACATCCCTTGATACGAGGATTTTCCTTTGAATTCTTTAGTTTTCTTTCTGTTTTTTTTTTCTAGTCGTATGTGCACCACAATAATAATACCCTGATCTGATATGGACAAGGGTGGCGTACTAATAGTGCATTGTGGCACCTCTCACCTCTGGGGTCTCGGGTTTGATTCCTCTACTTGGCAAAAAAAAAAAATATTGGCTGTGATAGACCCTTTCAGCTTTGACAGAAGGTTTTCTTTTTTCAGACTGCATGACATTCCCTTGAGAATAAGATTCTTTGTTTGAGTTGTACCCATATTTAAGTTTCTTCTCATGCGCAACCGTTAAACGAAGAAATTATACTCTAGGGAATGACACTGGGTCTATTGTCTTACCTTGAAGTGACTTTCCAACTTTTTCATACTGGTCCTTTGGGATTGCCCAGTCTACTGCGATAGGCCTACCAAGAATCTCTTTTAAATTCATTGCTTCTCTCGCTTTAGCAGCACTGAAAACATCTGAAAACTGAACAAATGCAAAGCCTTGTTTCTTTTTTCTCCTTCCTTTCATCGTGACTGGCATGTTCACCTCATTTATTTCACCATACTGTGAGAAGAACTCCTTGAGAATAGCATCAGTGCATTTGAATGACAAATTCCGTACAATCAATCTTGATTTTTTCAAGCTCTTCTGTGACAGTTGTTGATGCTCTTTGGACTTTAGAACAACGGTTACTTCTTTACCTTTGATGACTTTTTTATTCAATTTTGCGACAGCAATTCTTGCATCCTTTGGAGTCTTAAAAGTAAGTGCTGCCACTGGTTCATCCCGATCTTCTAGTGGAAAAACTGTATTCTCAATTTCACCTACTTTACGGCACCTTTTATATATTTCCTTGGCAGATATTGTAGAGGGTAGACCCAAGACGTGTACAGTTCGGCCTACATCAGATTGTGGCTGGGCTCTCTGAGATTTTGGTTTTCTTGTTTTGCTGTCAGATGAAGGATGACCATCTGGCTTTGTTGTGCTCTTATGTTTGGCTTCATTTTCTTCTTCTTTTTCTTCTTCGGTTTTCTTGAAGTTCTTTCTGTCTTTTTTGGTTTCTGTTAAACATAAAAAAGAAAATATAACAAAAATATTCTGCATAACTTTACTATACATGCTGTTATGACTACATGCATCCCCCATTTATAACTAGTATTTATGTATCTATCCCTACTAAATCATCTTTGCTATTAAATGTACAGTAATGATGAAAAGGTAAATTATACACCGTGAAAAGATGAAAAAAGTCCTTCGTCCGAAACGTCAGTAAGTTTTTTCATCTTTTCACGGTGTATAATTTACCTTTTCATCATTACTGTTTCATTAGAAACACCGACGCAGCTCACACTAGTTTTTAGCTAGTTATATCTTTTTATTAAATGTACAGTTCATGTACATGTAGAACATGGCTAACTTAGAGACTGTTGGTCAATAGTTGGCCAACTATCGACTATCTGTCAACAACTGGTCATGTGTTGACCATGTATTGGGCAACCATCAGCCGTATGTTGAGCGATGTTCATCCAAGGCATGGCTGAAAGTTTTGGTACTACTTAATCTTAATAAAGATTTATCACAAAGTATTTGATAAACTTAGCATGTTGCACATGTTTTAAAGAGAAAGAAACAACAGATAACCTGAAGAAAGCTCTTTTATCAAGAGAAAGACCCAATAAACCTTAGTTTAGTTCAACATGTGTCTTAAATTTGACTGATTTAAAAGCCAGCCATTCATCAAAATTGAAAATTAAAATTCAAAAACATTGCAACTTAATTCATATGAATTATTTTTAACCAGTGGAAACAAAATTGACTAAGGCCCCGTCCACACTATGCCAGATAAATTTGAATCCGATTTCTTATTAATTCGGTTCCATTTCAAAAATTTGTTTTCGGTGAAGAATTGTTCCGGATTCGCCCGGACTAGTGTGGAGGGTAGGCCTAACTGAATAAGTAAAATTTCGGATTCAAATTTATCCGGCATAGTGTGGACGGGGCCTAATTATGATATATCCTGGTTGCAACTTCCATTAATCAAAAGCTAATCAATAACATCACAGTTGAAGGATATTTTGGGGGGTAATAAATGAGCCATATTCATAAAAGATATCATGAGGATTTTTATAGGTTTTAGCTTGCAGGTAGCACTAGAAAATAAATCATGAACATTTTCATCAAAGCAAACTCTACCTGATGAATCTGTATTAGTATTTTCATCATCATCATCATCATCATCATGATTGTCTTCATGATCTGACCCTTGAAGCTTCTTCTCTTTATTGGGATGTTTTTCTCGTCTATTTTGTCTTGGTTTCTTGTCAGAGAAAGCAAATTTTAGCTTCCTGCCGCCAAGCATCTTTACTGTCTCCATGGCTCTTTGTGTATCTTCTTCAATAGCAAATGTTACGTACCCAAACCCTCTGCAGTTGTTTGAACCTTTAAAAAGTATAAAACCAAAGGAATGATTGAGAAAAATTCTAGTTCTAGGGTTATCCTCCGCCCATGTAAATAGGACCTTTTGCAGTATATGCGGCAACTTATTAAATGGTCAACCATTATTTAGCAGATGCTTAAATCCCACAAGACAAGGGACGCTTGGGTAATTGTGTACTTCATGACCAGCCAATATGTGTCATCAAAAATTGCCCTACTGTTGGTGGATAGTCAGCTGACTATCGGCTGTGTGTAGACCAATTGTTGGGAGACTATCTGCCAACAATTGGTCATGTGTTGACCATGTATTGGGCAACCATCAGCCGTGTGTTGAGCAATGTTCAGCCAACGCATGGCCGACAGTTTTGGTACCACTCAATCTTAATAAAGATTTATCACAAAGTATTTGATAATGGGGTGTTGGTGAAGTGATAGTCAGGTGTTGGGCAAGTGTTGGTCAACAGTTGGGTGACATTTGACCAATTCATCTCTGCTGGTCATGAAGAACACGATTACCAGCCACTTAATATAGTAGGGGTTTGACTGACTATAGAGATATATACAGTGCTTCATGTGACAYAAGCCTTTGTTATATATGTGCAGACAACAAACAGCTTGAGAAAAACTTCTGAGAAAATGATTGAGATAATAACATCACGATAATTTTACTAGTAGACACAAAGCATTATTGCTAATTTCGGCCTGTATGTCAGCTCATTTAACACATGGTACGACATCGTTTATATATTTAAAATTCAAGAACTGATCTTTTTCCCAAACTTTAATGCCTTTACTTTAAATCTTACAATAGATTCCAATAAATGGGTAAAAAGAGTTGAATTAATGCAAAAATAATAATGATATTAATAAAATGGAGTTCAAAAACAGCAACACCACGTGGGTCGAATGATGTCGACATTTTAAGCAACATCTTACTAACCTTTCTCTTTGATCAAATAACTTCTTCGGATAGGCCCTATATCACTGAATGCCTTCTCAAAGTCTTCATCTTTGATATCGTAGGGAAGATTTCTTACGAATAACACCTTTTTTGATATTCTGTTGGATTTTTCTTCTTCTTTCTCGACTTCTTYGCCTTCTTTGGTCGCCATTTTGAATTCTTGTGAAGACTACTGCTGACCAATAACAGGCGCAGAACTTTAACACAGGTAACCCACACTAAGGTGTTAAAAATAATAAAGTTGATAATAAAGTACAAACTTAAATGGCTTTTCATGTTCGCTAACCACTCTGATAAAGTGAAAGCATTAATATTGTTTTTTTGATTCTATCAATAAACAAAGACGCTCTCTCTCGTCTTGTGCCGCGCGCTTTTGTTCCCCTTGAATTCCCTCTACCCTTAACTCAACCCAATTTTTTTTCCCAACTACCAAGAAAGAGGAGCAAAACTGTATTTCCAAAGCGTTTGCAATTACTCTTACGTAATTTTCCTTTGAAAATTTTCTCTTTGATATTTATCTAAAGTGGGCTCCCTGTGGAGTAATTGTAAACAAACTGATTATTGAGGTTGGGTTCCCTGTGTTAGAACATCAACATCCAAGATGGCGGCTGATAACGAGTTGGATGTCTTTAGCTTGACAAAAATAAGTGAGATCGAAGAGGCATATGGTCAGATTCATTTAAAAGAAGTAAGTTATTATACCTCATAGAGCTGTGAATGAAGTGTCTTCTTTATTCTATGGCTTTGATTTTTCATTTATTATCGTTGCCTACGTGGAGCTCTATGACCGTCATGTGCCCCATTTATGTCTATGTATATACATTTAAATACAATTAAATACATTTAAATACACATATAATACGTCAACTTTAATTTAATTTAATGATGAAAAGAGCTTAGAAATTATAATAGAAATAATATTATTATTATTTAAGTATAAATTATACTTTCCTAGATTGGATTGAAATCAAAGGATATACAACTTTCCATTTTCATCTTAAAACACGTTAACAATTGGTCATGGTGATGATAATGAGGACGAATGAGGATGATGATGACAAAGACATTGATCAATAATGATGCTATGATGCTAATGATGATATAGTTTTGTATTTATCACCACTATATGTCTCTGTGCCTACTTGCTAATAATTGTTTTTGTTTGTTTATAGCAACAGCTAAATAATGAACTTGATAGTATCCTTGAAGATCAAACCAGATTGGATGCAAAAATGAATACTTTACAGAATGTAGTGTAAGTAGATTGATATTGAACCAGAAGCACAAGCTTAAGTACAAGACATCTTAAATGCTCCAGTGAAAATCAGAAAACATTGATACAAGCAGAAGCATAACATTGACAGAAGCGAAAGCAGAAGGAACAGAAAATTTCTTTTTTCTTAACTTTCCACTTCTGATTTTGTTTTTGCTATATCTAAATTTCTTTTAATGTGTATTTTGGGTTGGGACTAGTTTTCCACTTTTTTTTCATATTTGGGGTTGGGTTTGGGTGTTACTATTTTATAGGGGACCCGACAGTCCTATTGTATTATCACTTGCCCTTGGGCRAATCACAAAATAAGTAAATAAATAAATTACTGCCAAATTTCAAATGAAATACCCATCTTAGAGCATTTGTATCTGGTTGGTAAGGTAAAGATAAGATAAAGGCTAGGTGATGGAGAGACAGTGGTAAGATAATGGAAAGGTATCAGGTGTCCCCGATTAGTATGCTCACTTGTGGCAAGCTAATACTGTAGAAGGACACATTAATAAAGTGATTGATTGATTGATTGATTGAGGTAACAGTAAGTGGTCAGCAAAGGCAGTTATCGACCACTTACCGTACAGTGCAGATTGTATGCTATTGCTGTTTAAGTTAGCCAATCAGACTTGGAAATTCTTGAATAACAATGAGCCTTCTGTTTACTTTCCTTGTGGCACTGTACCTTTATTGATCAACCTAGTACCATTTTTCTTTTCATGCATGCATTTACCCATTCATTCAGGCACTTTTTCATGACTATAGACCAAATTCAAAACTCACACCGATGTGAGGCTTAAGTTGTGAACAAAGGGATCTGGCGTGACTCAAAGTAATCTGGYGTGATTCAAAAGTCACAATCAYGCCAGATTCCTTTGTTCACAACTTAATCCTCACATCGGTGTGAGTTTTAAATTTGGTCTATGATTTGATTTTTTTTCTTGCATTTAGTTAGCCATCTATTAATTTATTATTTTGTAGTTCAAGCCTTGGGTTAGTAATGAGAGATGCCAACCATCTGTATTCAATGATATCACACACATCAAACCTGGCTGAGAAAGTCAGCAGTAAAGTGAGGCTCCTTGATCTTGTTAAGGTACATTATTTCTTTACATAAATAGGAATTCATGTATCATATACATATGCATATATGTAGTCATGGTGATGATGACAATGCTTGATGGTGATCATAGAGGATAGTGGTATTGATGGTGGTGATAATGGTGTAATGATGGTAATGATGATGGTGATGCTAATGGTGATGATGATGATGGTGGTGATGATGATGGTGGAGTTGATGGTGGTGATGATGTTGATGATGACAATGGGAATGATACTGATGAAGATGATGTTGATGATTATTTTCACAACTAAGTCAATTTTGATAATATTATTATTTTTAATATTCATAAAATATTTGAATAACAGAATAGAGTCCAAGAAACAATGAAACAAGTGGATGACATTCTTGATCTTAAGGTACATTAACACAGGAAAAATATGCAGCCATCACATGCCTGAAGAAATTAGGTTTAACTAGTATAGACTAGTACATCGATAGCAATGATGCTGTATTGTGTAGCTCCAGAAATTATCCATACCTCCCCCCCTAGGGGTAGGGGGAGGTCTTTAGAAATATTCCACCGTGGGGGGTATGGATAATTTCTTGAACTTCACATTTGATCTATTTTATCAAAGAGACTTAAGAATCAAAGTGATTTACACTATGATAATATATATATATATATTATCAAACTCATGAATAATTCATGAGGAAAAAACAACAAAAATCACTACCGTGAAGAGTTTTGTAAATCTGATACAAAACTGTGTTCATTTGCATAAACTTTAAGTTGCATTTTCTTGGCCAAATTCCCTTTAATTTTGAAAATTTTAGTGAAACAACAAAGGAACTAATAGCCGTTTGATAAGTCATATACAGTATGAGTGGCCGTAATGTATCAGATATACAATCACTCGGCTACGCCTCGTGGTTGTATATCTGATACAACACGGCCACTCATACTGTATGTATTACTTAAATCAATGTTAATTTTGTAACAGGCATGTGTAAATGGTGTACAAAATGCCTTGGATACTGAAAATTATGAACAGGTAAGGAATGTGTTTGTGACTGTTTTCTTTGCTACCTCATGACAGGTTGACCATCGGTTCGTCAACCAACATATGGCAGCTATGAAATAACGTTGCATGCCAAGAATACTAAAGTAAATGCAAGACTGTATTTATTTTTGACACAGGCTGCTGCACACATTCACAGATATCTAAGCCTTGATGAGAACATTCTAAGGCAACTTATTGGAGACAGCAAAGAGGGTAAATATTACAACATAGGCACAATATTTCGCGTAATGTTTTCTCTTTTCAGACTAGCTGCAATTTTATTAAGAATATTAAGATCCTCTTGAGAATAAGATTCACTTGGCTAGTTACACCTCRTGCAGCTTTTTCTCTTCTATTTTGCTTACTGCAATGTGAACTCAGTAGTTGAGAGTTGCCTGTTACAATTAGGTTTTTCACTGCTGCCAGAAAGACTACATTTTGAACAACATGAATTCAAAACAGCTGCTTCCAACTAATACTGAAAAATACCTTCTGCTTGTTTCCATAACTAGATACAGGGGCCTAGTGAGGTCTCGGTCATAGAGGGAAGGGCAATGTTTTCCAGCCATTACATAGTTGTAAGCCTTTCTTCTTTAGAGTTCGCTGCCACTTCAACAGGTTCGATTAAACTTTTTTTGGGGAGACAGTCTCCCCACTCACCCCCTGGTTATGCCACTGACTGCATGCTAAGCATTCTCCCTCCCCCTCCCCCTCCCCCAATACTACTAGGTATTATTACCATAAGCCATTAGGAACCCAGCTGCATGAGCATGCACAGTATCAATATTTGTGTCTTTCTATTCTGCCGACAGTTTCAGACTTGAGTGGAGCATTTGTGCTTTTACACGAAGCAGAAATAAAGTTGAAGCAAGTTGTCAATGAGAAGTTTGATGCAGCTATCAAAATTGGTGACAGGAATGCTGTAGAAAGGTATGGTTGAATGTTCAGGTTTGCTTGATTCACAAAATATTGATTGATTAACTGTGCTGACATTATTTACATAATATGGATAAGCTTGGTTAAGTGACATGCAACATGCAACAGGCAGCATGCAACATGCAACAGGCAGCATACAACATGCAACATGCAACAGGCAGCATACAACATGCAACAGGCAGCATACAACATGCAACAGGCAGCATGCAACATCCAACAGGCAGCATACAACATGCAACAGGCAGCATACATCATGCAACAGGCAGCATACAACATCCAACAGGCAGCATACAACATACAACATGCAACATACAACAGGCAGCATGCGACATTCAACAAAACCTTTGTAAACCTTTTTAGAAATAGCTGTATACTAGGCCACTTCTAAGCATCCATGACTCAAATGAAACCTCTCTTATCGTTTTTTTCCAAGGTTTTTCAAAATCTTCCCACTCCTGGGTCAACATCAAATTGGATTAGAAAAATATGCAAAATATTTGAGTGCAAAGGTATGAAAAAAACCTTCAAATTTTATTGATAACATAAAACAACCTCTGGGCTGACAGGGCTGTAGCCACCAGTATGGTTGGGAATGGAGCACTTTTTATCATCAGCAGTGGCAGATCCAGGATTTTTCAAAGGGAGGTTTTGTTTCTTAATTCTCTTTTGTTTAGTCAATGTTTGAAAAAAAAATTGGCTCTAATCACCTAATTTACTATCTAGTAACAGAACGTAAAGGTAAATTAAACATTATAACAGCAAATATCTATCATTTCATGTTCAACATTATCTTTGATTTATACAAGACATATTTCTATTACCTAAAAGGTCAAACCTTCAAGGGGGGTTCCATGGACCCCTTCCACCCCCCTGGATCCGCCACTGATCAGAACCTTTATCCCCCTTGTAAAAAATTACATTATGTCAAATAGATATAACAACTGGAACACAGTCAAAATGGTGGCTATGACCCGGTATAATCAAAGATATAACTCACAGATTGAACCCTAAAACAACCTCTTAGCTTATCTAAGTCAGGACAGGGCTAACTCACAGATCAAACCCTAAAACAAGCTCTGGGATGATCTAAGTCAGGGCATGGCTAACACACAGATTGAACCCTAAAACAACATCTGGGCTGATCTAAGTCAGGGCAAGGCTAACACACAGATTGAACCCTGAAACAACCTTTGGACTGATCTAAGTCAGGGCATGGCTAACTCACAGATTGAACCCTGAAACAACATCTGGGCTGATCTAAGTCAGGGCACGGCTAACTCAAAGATTGAACCCTGAAACAACATCTGGGCTGATCTAAGTCAGGGCACGGGTAACTCAAAGATTGAACCCTGAAACAACATCTGGGCTG